ACACACACACACACACACACACACACACACACACACACACACACACACACACAGAGGGCCTAATCCTGCTCGGTTAGGAGAAGAACCTTGTAATTAAAAAACAAACAAACACTTATGTCCATAAACACTTTGACGCTACCTGGTATTTTTCCTTTTCACAGTGCGACAGCAGCACTGTAAGGCCTGGGATTGTTTTTTTTTTTTTTTTTTTTTTTTTTCTGTTTTTGCTGTCCCTGTTTTGAGCTCACTGTGTACTATCTGTATATATTATGTCTAAGCCTTTACTGTTCTTGGGTTTGTTTACAGTTAAAAGGYTATTTGGGCAAAGTGAAGTTAGCTTTCTTACACTCAGATTTAGACACAACTAGTTTCCTGTATTTCATATTGCAGTCCTTATACAGAGTAATCCAGATTTGCCAGTTTTCACTCATGAGAAGAGCRTTTGTCGGTACAGAGAACTCTTTATAAAAATGATCTGCGCTGTTCCTTCTTGTGGAAAACGTGGATGTTTGCACAGCAGAGGTCAGAGCCATGTATGCAAATGTATTTTCTCAAGCGAGTGCAGTCTGTGCAGCAGCAGTGATGTGTGGATTTATTCATTTCTTTGCTCAGTTTTGTTGAGCAGCGTTGTACGTTTGATGTGGTTGTCTCATTGTTTTGCCTGTCACATTTGCACCCACATTTGCATGCCGTTCTCACAGACGTTCACACGCTTTCCCTTCTCAGTGCTGCATCGACGACTTTGAGGAAATAGTCCAGTGTCTGCTGGACGCCGGCGCCTCTGTGAACGCGTGCGACAGCGAGCTGTGGACGCCGCTGCACGCTGCCGCCACCTGCGGGCACACCGGGCTGGTGCAGCTGCTCATTCAAGCGTGAGTGGGCTCCAGCTATACAGCGTGGTTTATTTTCCTTTATTTTCTAAGAGGAGCGTGGGGTGGGCTCAGGTAGTCCATTTTTAAATTTGTGTGTGTTCGCTCTTAGTGGCGCTGACATGCTGGCCGTCAACACAGACGGCAACATGCCCTATGACCTCTGTGAGGACGAGGCCACCCTGGAGCTGATGGAGATGGTTATGAGTGAGCAGGGTCAGTGAGTCCAAACAAAACTTTATTTTTGTTGTTGGTCAGATTCATCTAACTGTTAAAGGGGATATATCATACAAAATCTACCTTTTTTAGCTGTTAAATGCTTTTTTTGTGTACTTAGTCTCTAGGAGTGCAGAAAATTAGAATCTAGTTTTTCCTGGTACTGCGAAGATATCTTTATATTCTGTCTGGGTCATTTTTCTGCTTTCTATTACCTTTTCTAAACTGATATCAAATTATGTGACGGAACTGCCAAATAAAGTCTGAACTTACCAACTTAAATAAATAAGATGCTTCTGCACCACTAAAAAAAATGTTAACCCCCTCTCTCAAGCTGGACCAGGGTTCCTGCGGTTCCTTAAAAAGTCTTAAAAGGTATTGAATTTATCAGTCTACAAATAAGACCTAATCAGCCTTAAAATATCTTAAATCAGTCTTAAAATGTTAACACTTTGTAAGATGATTGTAATTTGCCTCTAACAATAAAATAATAGGTAGCATTTTCTTTTTAAAYAATTAAACAAATGCCTCTAGCAACTAAACATTTGGCCAAAATAAGTGTTTTTTTCTCCCATTTGTGTTTATTGTTGGTCTTAAATTTTATTTCAACTGCAGGGTTTCCCACAGCACTTTATAAGTGGTGGGCCGACATGCTCTTCCGCCAGGCCAAGCTCAGTTCACTTTTTAGAGCGGACGTCGCTCAGATCGGACATCACTATTGGAGCGTGCTAAAAATAGCACCTACCTCTGTTTGAACAATGAAGACAACAGCTCTAATAAATCTCCTTAGCATTCAGAAATATGTCATAGTTTCATATAAACTCTTGAGACTTTTAAMAAWACATCCAAACACAACAGGAGAGGCCGCTAAACCAACAGACTGAACTAAATTTCATCTCGTCTCTCCGTCAGAGCCGAGGCAACGCTGCTGCTGTCTCTCACACAGCTACCCCACCTCTTCCCCGTTCTCTCCGGGACATTAACCATTAATAAACATTAATAAATATTACAAATGTGTTCATTTCTACAAGACTGTCAAATATATTTACAAGATATACTGAATTTCAAATGTTACTGATTTAAATTAACAAAATTAAGTACTTTTTTATGTTTAACTAGAGAATTGAATTTCCTGGGAAAATGCTAGTCTGAATGCTACTTGTTGAAATCTTAGATGAAAGCTACTGAAAGTGAGCTGAACATGTTTAGTAGCAAAAATGTTATTGCAAGTTCAATTTGAAAAGCTGAAAGGAACAAAAAATCCATAACTTTGCAGAAAAACCATAGGAATGAGCATAAATATAGTTAAAAAGGCAGAAAACAGATAAAAATCTAAATGCTTAAAAACAGAATATAGCAGAAAACTGTAAGAAACATAAACAGCTCAAATTAGCAGAAATAATTACAATAAAATTGARTATTGGAGTCAAATAGCAGAATTTTAGCTAAAATAGCTAAAAATGCTATAATTAGCATAAAAATAAGCTAAAGGTAGCAGAAATGAGTTGAAAAAAGTTACAGAGATGGTGAAAGTGTTGTAAAACTAAAAAAATTGCAGAACAAAACTGCAGAAAACTACTAGAAAAGTCATCATTTGTAGAAAAATAGCTAAAACAGCTAACATTATCAGTAAAACAGCTAAAATGTAGTTGGAAATGTTTTGATTAGCATAAGGAGCACATGTTTGCTGAATTTAGCAGAAATAAGTTGTATTAGCTACAAAAATTATGTACTCAGCTTAAAAAAAGAGCTAACTTTAGCTAATAACAGCAACAAGTTCTTACAATAACATCATATTGGCTTAGATATGTTTCTGGGGGGAAAGTCTTAAATTTAACTGGCCTTAAGCTGTAGGAACCCTGTGGAGTGGACCGGTCTGGAAGCCGGAGGGGGGCGGGGCTTGAAGCACCTTGAAACAGCAACAAAACCAGCTGCTTTGAGACACTCATCAGAAAAGGAGTGAAAGTTGTAAGGAGGAATTCAAACCAAAGCATTGTAGTTCCACTTTATAAAGGAYCCCAACTGAATGATTTAAATGTGAAAAGGAAGGATTTAAATATATACTGTATGTCTACTTTAGGTTCTTAAACCTGATTTAGTTTTTCCTGCCTGTCAAATTTCAAATCAAACAAGTAAACAAATAGAAGAGATACGTTTTAGACCTTAACGTAACTAACTTACGCGTGTGTGTGTGTGTGTGTGTGTGTGTGTGTGTGTGTGTGTGTGTGTGTGTGTGTTTCTTGTACAGGGATAACTCAAGACCGTATAAAAGAATGCAGAAAAGCTAAAGAGAAGAAAATGCTGGCTGACGTTCAGGCTCTGGTCCAGAGTGAAGCCGATTTAAACGCACAAGACAATAATGGAGCAACACTGGTGAGACTGTCGTGATTTAACTTTGTTCCCAGCTGCAGTCTTGAGTGTTTATTTCGTTCCAGTATCAGCAGGAGAACTTGTAAACGGTCATACGTATTGTTCGGTTAATAGTAAACTCTGTAAAAGTAAAACTCTCTGTTTTAATCCCTCTCAGCTCCACATTGCATCTGCCAACGGCTACATGTCTGTAGCAGAGCAGCTGATAGAGAACAGGGTCCAGCTGGAGCTGAAAGACTCYGACGGGTGGACACCGCTACACGCTGCCGCCTGCTGGGGACAGGTGTGTACTGCACCCGAACCATAAACACACGAAGCTGGTTTGAAACTGTCACATGAGCTTTTTATTTTCATTTGTTCCACAGATTGAAGTTGTGGAACTGCTAGTAGCCCACGGAGCCAATCTAAATGCTAAGTCTGTCCTAGACGAGACACCTCTAGGTGAGACCTCAGTGTTTTTATTTTATTGTTCTTCTTTTAGAATAAAACACTCGATGATTAAATCAGTGAGTAACGATGAAACTGTCCTGTTGTTTCCTTATCAGATGTGTGTATGGACGATGAGGTAAGAGCCAAACTGACGGACCTGAAGCACAAACACGATGCCATCATGAAGAGTCAGGACAAGCAGAAAGGCACGCTGCAGAGAGGAGTATCCAGCACTGGAAGCAGAGGGTAAGAGAGAAACCAGAGGGTGAACACGGCTCAGAGCAGTGTCTTATTTATTTATTTTGACTCTGTATTTTTCATTTGTTCCTGCAGTAAGGTGGTGCGTCGTGTCAGTGTTAATGAGCGGTCCAGTCTGTACCGGAGGGAGCACCAGAAAGAGGCCATGGTGTGGCAGGAGCGTGGCCGGCAGCCTGAACCGCAGGATGATGATGAAGACAGACAAACTGATAATGAGCTGCACCAACACGCCGTTATGGTGACTAGTCTGTTTGTTTGTTTGTTTGTTTGCAACCTAAATGCTTCTGAATACTTTGTGCTAATTTATCTAATTTAGGAGGAGATGGAAGCTATGACTTGTGATTTTTCTAAAGTTTATGAATATTTAACTTTATTGAACAATATTTTCCCTGTAGAAATACATTGTTCTTTTTAAAATCTGCAAACTTGCTCTGTTTTTGTCTTTTATTGCCTTTTTTGGGCCTAGCCTGTTGCTAGTTTCAGCTAACTTCTTGCTGCTTTAGCATTTAGCTTGGCACATTGCTGCATTTAGCTTGTTGCTAACACTCTAAAGCTTTTAGCGTCAAGCCAATTTTAACACATCTTTTGCTACTTAAAGCTAACCTTACTTTGATTTCAGCTAGACATTTGCTGCTTTTAGCCATATTTTCCTACTTTAAGTTAGTATTTTGCTACTTTTAGCCATATTTCCTATTTTAAGTTAGCGTTTTGCTACTTTAAGCTAACCTTACTTTGATTTCAGCTAGACATTTGCTGCTTTTAGCCATATTTTCCTACTTTAATTAGCATTTTGCTACTTTTAGCCAGATTTTCCTACTTTAAGTTAGCATTTTGCTACTTTTAGCCATATTTTCCTATTTTAAGTTAGCGTTTTGCTACTTTAAGCTAACCTTACATTGATTTCAGCTAGACATTTTCTACTTTTAGCCAGATTTTCCTACTTTAAGTTAGCATTTTGCTACTTTTAGCCATATTTTCCTACTTTAAGTTAGCGTTTTGCTACTTTAAGCTAACCTTACATTGATTTCAGCTAGACATTTTCTACTTTTAGCCAGATTTTCCTACTTTAAGTTAGCATTTTGCTACTTTTAGCCATATTTTCCTATTTTAAGTTAGCGTTTTGCTACTTTAAGCTAACCTTACATTGATTTCAGCTAGACATTTGCTGCTTTTAGCCAGATTTTTGTAATTTAAGCTAGTGTTTTGCTACTTTAAGCTTCTAGTTGTTGTTTTTTTCGCTTTAAAAACTCAGTTTCAGATTTTCATATTAAATGGTTTATTTCTTGTTTTTTTACTTTCATCGAGTTAAGAGAACCACTTGATTAACCTGTGTTCTGTTTCAGGTTACCGGTGGTGCAGCAGCAACACGTCTAGAGGAACTAGAGGTTGCCGACAGGAAGTTTTCATCCAGTTTAGAAAACGGGGAGACTTCAGTCTCTCTGGCTGCCTCTGTGCCTGGAGAGCTGTGGACTGGTGGGGGCTACATGGACCGCAGCGCCTCCTACCAGCTCAGCCCTGCGTCTGGAGCCGGGTATTCAGAGGGCGAGGCTGCAGACAGCATGACTCTGGAGAAGTCGCACCACACCCTGGCTGACCTGAAACGCCAGCGGGCTGCTGCTAAACTCAACAAGTACCCAGCGCCTCCTCCTCCTCTTCCTTCTCCTATAGAAGAGGAGGAACCTCCTGCCGCAGCAGCCCAAACATCCTCAACCCCTCAGACTCAATCAGACACTCAAACGACCCCTGCAGCAGAGCAGGAGGCCTCCCCCAGCCAGGTGTACTTCACCCCAGCCAGCGGAGATCCTCCATTACTRAAACTTCGGGCCCCCGAAGAGGAACAGACCAACAATAAAGAGCCTTGCTGTGGCCTCATGTAGACCTCAGAGAACAGGAACTGAGCACACCAAGACAAACATCTGATAAAACCAAGATGATTAAAAAGATTCAAGCTGAGCTCACAGTGCAGTCGTCTCACAGCAGAGCATGTTTTAGGCTTCAGGTTATTCAGTTTCACTACTTTATAACGTGCCTTTCAGCATCCAGTTTTCTGAAGGTGATAGAGTTGACTCGGCCAAAACACCTTAGTCTGAAGACAATCATGAAAGTCTCTCTCACAACAGTTTCCACGACTTTTTACTKTTCCACAGCTCAAAACACCTGTCCTCTTCACTTCCACTAACAGGAAGAGATGGATTAAAAATGTAAGGTTAGAATTAAATCACATGCTTAGGTTAAATGAAACCCAAATGTGACGTAAATGCTGTTCAAGACTTAAACACCACAGTACAACGGAGTATTAGGACCACACAACGATTTTTTATTATTATTACGAGATTAAAGTAATAAATTTATGAGATTAAAGTCATAATTTTACGAGAAAAAAAGTCATAATCTTACATGACATGTCCATTTCTCATTCCTCATTTCCTCCTTATTTTCCTCACAGCTGCTGTGTACAGACATGTGTCTGTGTTTATAAAGTAGTCCATGATGACTCGTCACTGTTAGATTAATATGCTTTCATCCATATTAGCTACGTGATGACTAAATCTGTCAGTGCATCCATTAATTACAATATGGCTTCAGTTTATAGTCGTTTGCACAATTTCCAAGTCCTGTTACTGATAATTTGATGCTAATGTGCTAAAAAATTTAACTATTTATTTATAGCAATACTAAAGAACAACTTGACAAGTTGCTCAACATTTCTCATTTTAATGCAGTGATAACTGCATACTTTTTCATGTAAAGGCAAGAATGTTAGGACTTTTTTCTCGTAATATTACGACTTTAAACTCGAAATATTATGACTTTAATCTCGTAATATTACAACTTTAAACTCGTATTATTGTGGCTTTAATCTTGTGATATTACGACTTTAAACTTGTAATATCATGACTTTAATCTCGTAATATTATGACTTTAATCCTGTAATATTGCGACTTAATTCTCATAATATTATGTCTTAAATCTTGTACTTTATTCACATAATATTATGACTTTAATCTCGTAATATTATGACTTTAATCTCGAAATATTATGACTTTAATCTCGAAATATTAT